GGAGGGAGTATTTGTGGTTTGTCTTTGTATCCCCAGTCCCTACTGCAGTGCCTTGCATATAGAAGACAATATGTATTTATTAAATTAAGTTATATAGAGGACTTGTAAGTTTTTCAATAATTACTCTTTGCCTTATGTCAATTGGGCAGTTCAGATATAATGGTTCCATTATCATCCACTGATGAAAATAAACCATTTATAAAAATGTTGGAAGATCTGTTCAATTTTGTGTTTGTTGTCCTACGTTCATCTACAAATGCCCTCAGGATAATCTGACTCTTTTTGGTCTTATTTTTCTCATTAACTACGTTTCACTGTTTAATGAGAAAAGAGTACTGGTTATAATTTTTGATCTGCCATGGCTTGCTTTTAATATATTCATGATGATTTTTAGTGACCATCACCCTTCTAAGGTGCTCAGAGCTTAACTATTTAATAATAAAAAAAAAAATTGCTAGACCCAAGGTTGGCATCCCGTATTTTGTGGAATCTACCTTCTTCCCTTTTTTGGAAACTGAGACCTCTCTGTACTCTATTCCTTCATCACCTCTTCTATTGTCCACAAAAGATTAGTGGTTTAGCAGTCATATCCACAAGATTTTCAGTGCCATAGAATACAGTTCTATCCACCCCAATAGTTTTAAGCTCAATGCTCTCTTATAATCTCATTTGTCTTACATTTTAATTTCGTGCTAACCATTTTTGTTTTATTTTCTTTGATCTTCCGATCTGGAGATCATGCCTTTAATGTTGAAAACAGAAGGAAAGTAGGGAATTCGGTAATTCCACATTTCTCTCGGTTATCCACGATCACCTTCTCAACCATAATAACCATTGAGACTACCCCTTTCTCGTTTTCCTCCCATTAAATTTGATTGTCAATTTTTGATCAACGCCTGTTGTGTGTAGAATATTCCTAGTGAGATGCAGAGTTTGGATGAGTCATTCTTAGGACTGTCATGGGGTTTACAGTCTAGGAAGGAAATAGGACTTGTAACCTCTGAGCCATTCCTGAAATTCTGAGCTTATACTAACTAGGTCCATTCTCGGAAGCAATTTAGTGATTACTCCTTTGGCTCAGGCTAGTTTCGTTTGTTTCTGGCTTTTCTGAAGAGACCCTGAGCTCCCATGCATCTATACATCTGGCTTCTGAGGCACAGAACATAAAAAAAGTTAACTATATACAAGTGCTAGAAGGATTCATACTTAAACCCCTATGCAGTCCAGAAAGCCTTCCCTGCTGGAGGCGCCAGCTCCCATAAGTCACCTTCTTGTTCTGTCACTAGAGGAGTTGCTTTAAAAGGTAATCAGGACTTACTCCCCCAGAATCACAGAGTTAGGAGGGACCCCAGGGGCTATTTAGTCCAATATTTATCTGAGCAAAATTCCCTCTAGGATATATCCCTTTAACTTTCCCAAGCTAGATTTGAGCCGATTCCTTCACTCTCCACCAGGGGAAGAAAGGTCTGACTATTGCTGAGGAATCAAGCAGCCAGCCCTCTAGTGAGCTCTACTTTTCCCAGGGACTTAGCTTTTCTTGATTTATAGTAACGCATAGTTGAGACCCCCAACTAAAGTTAAGGTCTTCCCAAGGAGACTGGGTTCCCAGTTGAGATTAGGGTTGCTAGAGAGTCAGCCCTCCTCCTCAGGACCTGCACAGTCTACGTGATTCATGATACCAGTGAAAGGCATGGTCCAGGTTTGTTCTTACATCCTCATCATGTCTCTTTCTTTGCCTCATTGCTCCTAAGTTTTGACCCTTCTGTTGGTTCTTGGGTTCACAATTCCCCTCAGCACTAATTTCCCCCATGTTCCCTTTCAGTGCCAGTGAATGTGAAGTTCAGCTTTGTCCTGGTCTCTTAACTCCCTTTGAGACTTGGAAACTCTGCTTGTGGCTGCACTGCACCAGCTACATTGCTGTCTTCCCAGCAACTGCTGCTACTGCCATCTACTCATCTACCTCAGGAAAATGTTACAGCTCTTACAGTGAGGTTGGACACATTGCCACATTCCCAATTGTTTTATTTTAGTCAGGACCCATCTGGTTCACGAAAGAGCCCTTCAGGTAATTGTGAAGATTTCTGCCTTGTGGGGCTCCACCAATCCTCTCTTCCAGCCAAGCTAAGGTGACTGAATTCCGTCATCCCCTTCTTACCTAAATCAAGGTGCAGGCAGTGTGCCCTCCAACACCTTTCTGATTTGTCATTCCTTTCATCCCTCCTGCTGACTAGGACTAGGCAATACGAATTTCCCTAAGGCTTGGAGAAACCTCCAGAAAACCACAGAAACACTAGAGAGGGAGGGACACAGCTAGTGACAACTACTCAAAACCTTGCTGCAGAGACAAAGGCATGTGTCCTCCTTAAAGACACAGAGATAAATGTAATGCATAATACAGGTATAAAAGATAGTAATACTTAACATGAAGGTGGTGCTTTGAGGTTTACAAAACACTTCATCCAAGACAATGCTGGGAGGTAGTTAATGGAAGTATTATTATCCCCACTTGGCAGATGAGGAGACTAAGGCTTAGAGAGACTTACCCTGCGGCCGACAGCTAAAACATTTCAAAGCCAGGAGCCATCTCTTCTGTACTTTTTCCTACAACTTTGCCCACATTGTTTTTGTTACTTTTTCTTATTTTTGATGGATATAAGCTGATATCTGAGCTATTTTCATTTCTTTGATAATCAGTGAAGTTGAACATTTTCAAGTCATAATTTAACATTTCCTTTTTTTGTAAATTGCTGATATAAATTTAATTCAGTCCAACAAATATTTTCTGAGTGCCTGCTCCACACAAGGCAATGCAAAAATGAATGTGAAATATTTCCTGTCTTCAAGGTGTTAACATTCTACTGGGAGGTATGAGGGGTAAGGGGGAGAGAACATAAGCACAAATCAGTAAACAGCGTATGAGAAGCAATAGAGCCCTGATGATCACATGACAGTGGATGAAAGAATCAGGATCCAAAAGAATCTTGACAGGCTGTTGACCCCAGTTGGCTGAATCGAGTAAGATAAAATTCATTAGGAATAAATGTGAAATCTTGCATCTTGATACAAAGACCTCCTAAGTACAAAATAGAGGAGATTTGGTTAGATAGCAGTTCTGAAAAGCATTAGGTGGCTTTCTTAGACCACGAGCCACATGTGACTTAGCAGTGTGATGTGGCAGCCAAAAATGCTAATGCACACGGTGTCCATTGTGCAGGGCATAACTTTCATGAATGGGTAGGTGAGGGGCCCACTATGTTCTGCTCTCATAATACTCCATCCAGAGTATTGTGTGTGGCTCTGGGCACCATGATTTAAGGACATGGATAAGCTGGAGGGTGTCCAGAGGAGGCCAGGCAGGACAGTGAAGGGCCTCCAGTCTGGGCTGTATGACCATTAGTTGAAGGAGCTGGGCATGTTTAACCTAAAGGAAATCTTGGAGGGAAATAATGTTTTCAGGTATTGGAAAAAGGGTATCACATGGAGGAGGGATTCGCCTTGCTTCATTTAGCCCCAGAGGATAGAATGAGGAATGAGAGATGAAAGCTGCACAGAAGCTGATCTAGGCTGTCAGGAGGAATCTCCTAATAGTTTGAGTTGTCCGGAGTATAAGAGGCTACTTCCACAAGTGATGGGCTCTCCTTCCTTAGAGGTGTTATTCAAAGGCTGGATGACCACTCGTCAGGTACAGTGTAGGAAGGATTCTTTTCCCACATGGATTAGATAGGCCAGATCACCACTGAGGTCCCTTCCTATTCTCTGATCTTGTGATTCTATGATTGGGTAAGGCAGGAAAGGTGACGTCTTCTGAGGGACTGAGCCAAGTGCCTTCACCCTGATAAATTTATATTATTGTAGAGATTCCACAGGTTGAGTTTCTAATCTGCTATATTTGCTCTGAAGATTTCCTCCAATCTTTTATTTTTCTTACTTTGGTTGTATTTTTAATTGCATATTTTACCTTGTTTTTACAGAGTCAAATACATTTATCATGACTTTAACTTTTTCTTCCATTTGTTCAATGATAAGAAATTTACTTCCTTCTACTACTGAGATATTCCTTTTCTACCTTTTTTATGGTTTTTGTTTATGTTTGATTCTTTGATCCAATTATTTCTTTTTCTCTGGGACTTCAATCCCAGGCTGCAAATATATAGTCATGAACATAGGCACTTTCCAGGCAGTCCCTGCCTTTCCTGAGAATGCTGGAAATCTATTATTTATTTTGCATTCAGAATCTTTTCTGAAATTTTGGCTCAAGGCCCTAGAATTTAAATTCACTCTTGTTTGCTGTGTGCATGCGATTATAATTGGCCAGTTGTGAATAACTTGAGGTACCCATACATGACCATGGCTCTCTGTAGACCCCTGGCAAGGAGTCTCTTTCTGTGGAGGGGCAGACATGAAGAAGGCAAGGCCCAGTGGTCATCCACTCGAGCTAACTAGATGCCTTCAGCAGCTCCAGGGGCAAGGGTGTGGAGTAGTACGGGCAGTCCATCACAAGTGTATTTCTTGAGACCCTGCTGTGCACTGCGCTAGCAATTGAGGGGATTACAAAGACGTTTGAGGAGGTGATGACCCACAAGGACTCCTCTCGTTGAGGAGATAAGACACATAAGACATGTGAAAAGGCAACTAACCACACAAAGTAGTAAGCAGTAAGTCCCAAACAAGTGATACACGTAATAAGCATCGTAGGGGTTCAGAGTAGGGAGACAGCACTTGCAGCTATCTCCAGACTCCAGGGCAGTCACTAGGATGAGGTGAGAAGAGATGAGCCATGAAAATTGGCAGGGAGCCTGAGGAACTCAGTATATAAATCTCAGGGAGCTATTTACAAGAATGGGAATGCTGCTGTGTCAGGGACCAGACTAGGCTCTTTGGTGAAAGCAAGGGAGTATGAAATGGGGGTGGAAATGTTGGGGGCCAGGGAGGAGGACACAATGGGAGCCAAGGCTGAGTCGAGTCAAGCTGCCTAACTTGAATCTTTCTCCCCCCCCCAGCCTATACCCAGCTTCAGCCACACCAACTCCTTCCTCAGTCCCCATCCAAGCACCTGCAGCCCCAGTTTGTCATCCAGCAGCAGCAGCAGCAGCCACCTCTACAGCAGCAGCAGCAACAGCAGCAGTCCCAACAGTGCCGGCCCCAATCACAGTCCCAATCCCAGCTTGCCTCAGCTCTGCCAGGAGTGACCATACAGCCCAGCACTGAAGTTCACGCCATGTCACTAGGCCCAGCAATCCCTGCCCTCCCACTGCAGTGTCCTGCTACCAATCAGCACAAACCTGGCAACAGCCAACAAGGGCAGCCCTCCAGCCCAGAGGCTGGGCCCCAGAATGGACATTCTGAGGGCCTGCTCCACACCCCCCAACGCAGATTCCAGCACACATCAGCTGTCATCCTCCAACTACAGCCTGCTTCACCAGCGGTGAGTTACCAGTCCCCAAGGCCTGTCCCTCTTTTGGATAGGCACAGCTTAGGCAGGTTACACCCAACTTGGCATCCTTCTTCCCAATGTGGGATGTGATGCTGGCTGAATGTTTTGAATCTGCCTGGGTATTTCAAGAGCCTCTTAGGTACCATTTATCCAAAGAAGGGCAGGACAAAGAAAATAATAGATCTACGTATATACAGCTCCTCTGGATCTACGAAACCTGGATTTCAATGTGCTTGTCAATTTCCCATCCCAGAAGCATCGTCCCAGTGCTTGCAGTTACCTTCATTAGCAGAAGTGTTCAAGCATATGGTGGGAGGGACAGGGGGAACTCCTAAAGAGACCATTTCTACCCTATTCCTTGACAGACCCCACAGTGTGGTTCAGATGCCTGGAAGGAGGCAATGCCCAGGGAGAAGAGTCTACCTGAGACCCTGCCCAGCCCAGCAGCCCAGCAACCAGCAACCCTCACTCCCCCACCTGCTGGTCCACTCCAGCCCACAAGCTCTGATGTTCAGCAGTCTCCAGCACATGGTAGGGGGAGTGGGAGGGCAGGACTCCTAGGGGAGAGGAGACAGTTTTCCTCAGCTGCTTCTTGGACATCTGACGTGGGCACCAAAGTGAGTGGGAAACTGGTAGTCACTGAAAGCACCTAGAAGCAGCAAGGAGATGACGCAAATAGGATCTGGAGACAGGGAAAAACAGAAAGAGGTAACGGGGGAAAAGGGAGTGTCTAGTTAATTCAAAAGAAAGGAGGCTGAAGAAGCAGAAGAAGGGATGAGTACCATAAACCTTTAGCCTGAACACTGAGCTCCGCATCTCAGTGGTGGCCAGAGTAGCTGAGGAAAGAGTGGAGAGGTGGAGATTGAGATTGAGGTGGAGAGTGGGGATGATTTTCCTGAAAAGTAAGGCCCTACATCCTTTATGCCTGAAATGCATAGACAATTGAACAAGTATTTGGGGTCTGAATTGTTAATGTGAGTGTAAAATGCAACCTAAGAATGTTGTTCGTTTGAGAGACATTGTGGTGGAGTGGAGTGGAGTGGGTTTGAATCCCAGTTTGGTCACTTATTATCTATGAGACCTCGGCCCATCAGTTCACCTCCCTGGGCTTCATTTTCTCATCTGTAAAATGGGCCATGAAGTTGGACTTGGTGGCTTCCAAGGCCTTGCAGCTTGAAATCCATGATCTAAATCTTTTTAAGAGATTCCAGGACTTTGTACTATGCAGTAGTTATTATATACTCACTTAGGAATGTTTTGTGTCTAATATTTGGTACAATAATAATTTTGCCCACATAGGCATAAAATCTGAGAGTTTGGTCCAAGAATTTGAAATAGGAAACCTGGCAAGACAGCCTTAGTGCTGAAGCTCATGGATGAGGACAATGGCTAAGAGCCATGAGGGGTGAAAAGTGGAGATTCAGGATAGGGCCAAAGAGAGCACTTGAATCCAACCCAGTTAGAGTATCCACATAGGATCTAGTGCCCACTGCTAGGTTTGCCATCTGCCCAGGAATGGGCATACGTGGATTTTTTCCATGTTCTCCATATCGGGCAACTCTGCCAGAACCCTGTGCCCTGGTGGAAGACATCGTACTGCCTCAGGCTCCTGCTGGACTTCCACCCTTTCATTTCTTGCCTTTCTCAGACTGCCTGCAGAGTGGTCTTGGCCCAGAGTTCAGTGGCATCATGAGCCACCCATAATTCAGGAAGACAGTTCCTGCCAGTACCCTGAGTGTTTTTCAGAACAGAGGAGGGAGAAACAGAGAGAGAGAGCAGAGAGGAAGAAAGGGAAAGTATCTTGTGGGGATGAAAAAAAAAAGGAAAAAGGGATTCAAGTAAGAAGGAAATAAAAGAGTAATAAAAGAAAGAGAGGAAGAGGGAGAATTTGTGAGGCAGAGAAAGGAGAGCAAATGAGAAATCACAGCCGAAAAGACTCAGGAAGAGACCTGAAAGTTCATCCCAGAGATTTTAACCCAGGGTCTATGAGCTTCAAAAAAACCAAAACTGTAACTGTGTTTCAGTATAATTGGTTTCCTTTGTAATCTTATCTATTCTATGTGTTTAGAAGCATTCTTCTCAGAAGGGGTTCAAAGGCTTCACTAGACTATCAGAGAGCTCCATGACACAAGGTTAAGAATCCCTAATCTAGTTTAGCCTCTTATCAGGCCAGAATTTCCCTGCGGGTAGTGAGTACTGCAGTTTCTGCCTTAACACCTAGAGTGAGACTAGGAGCACACTGCTTTGTAAGACAGCCCAGCCTGTCCCCCTGGAGGACAGCTCTCCTTGTTCAGAAAAGTCTTCCTTCTTTCCAGAATCTGCTGCCACAAAACTCGCAATCATTGGAAACTAGTTCTCTCCTCTGTAGCTAATCTTCCGCAGTTGAGTCCTTCACATGTTTCAAGACAGCTACAATGTCCCTCCTAAGTCTTCTCTTTTCAGACTAAAAACCACTCGTTTCCTGAGCTGTTCCTCAGCTCTGTAAGGTCTCATGTGTATTCCACATGTCACTCCCAGCCCCCTTCTACATATCTTGGTCCCTCTCCTCTGAACATGCTCTAGTTTGTCAGTGTCCTGATTAAAATGTGATGCCTAGAAGTTCATAAATTATCAAAACTGGATGAGACTTTAAAGATCACTTAATTCGACCCCCTCATTCTACAGAAGAGGAGACTGAGGCTCAGAAAATGGAAGGGACTAGCTAAGAACTTATAGTGAATAAGTGGCAAAAATATTTCTGGTCAGGTACTCTTTCAGTCTCTCACATAAGTACATTTGCTCTAGGCATGATCTGATTCGGTTAGATTAGAATGGGACCATTACTTCTTTCTTCAGGGTAACCACATGGTCAGCTTACCTCCTGTTTCAAGCCAGCTCTCTTGTTGACCTCAGCAACCAGATTGATGAAGAGTCTTGGACCCATCTTTAGCCTAGAGAAAAGAACACTTGGAGACATTATAGTTGTCTTCTTCAAGTCTTGAAGTCTTGAAGGACTTTCTTGCGAAAGGAGTAGACTTGTTTTATTTGACCCTAGGGGCAGAATTGGGGGGTAGCAGTTACAAAGAGGTAAATTTAAAGTTTTCTCCAATATCCTTTAAAAGAATTTTTTTCAATTAACAAAAATCTGTTTCCCACACTTCACACCTCCCCTCCTCCATTGAGAAAAATAAAACAAAATAAAATCATTGTCATAAATATGCATAATCAAGCAAAACAAATTCCATAAATATGCAAAATCAAAGCAAAACACATCCAAAATATATGTCCCAAGCTGTCTATCACCTACCTGTCTGTCAGAAGGTAAATAGCATATTTCAGTGTGGGTCCTCCGGAATCATGGTTGGTCATTCTGTTGATCAGAGTTCTTAAGTCTTTCAAAGTTGTTTGTCTTTACTGTGTTGTTATTATAAATTGTTTGATTCTGCTCACTTCACTCTGCATCAGTTCATACAGGTTTTCCAAGATTTCTCTGAACCTATCCCTTTCTCATTTTTTAACAGAATTATAATAGTCCATTACATTCATATAACATAATTGTTCTGCCCTTCTGTAATTAATGAACACTCCCTTAGTTTCCAGTTATTTGGCAATATAAAAAGATGCACCATAAGTTACATATGGGTCCTTTTTTCTCCTTCTTTGCTCTTTTGGGGATTAAAGGCCTAGTAGTGGTATTGCTGGGGCAGAGAATAAGTACAGTTTAGTAACTTTTGTGGGATAGTTCCAAATTGCTTTCTAAAAGGGCTAGACCAATTCACAGGTCCGCTAGCTCCACCCCTCCAACATTTGTCATTTCCTTTTGCCAATCTGATGGGGGTGAGTTGGAACCCCAGAATTCTTTTAATTTGCATTTCTCTAATTAGCAATTTAGAGCATTTTTTCATATAGCTATTGATAGCTTGGATATCTTCCTTAGAAAACTACTTGTTTATAACCTTTGATGACTTATCCAATGAAGAATGGTTCTTATCCTTATAAATTTGAATCAGTGCCTTATATATCTTAGAAACAAGACTTTTATCAGAGAAATTAACTGCAAACATTTTCCCCCATTTATCGATTTCTCTTCTAGTTTTAACTGCATTAGACTTGATTATGCAAAAATGTATGTAGTTATTTAAAATGGAATTTTGCTATTTTTTCCTGCTGGATTTTGTTGGTAATATACAGAAATGCTGATGTTTTTATTTGGATTTATTTTATATGCTGCAACTTTGCTGAAGTTTTCAATTGTTTCATTTCATTTTAGGTGACTTTCTGGGGTTCTCTAAGTAAACCAGTCATGTTACCTGCTTGGTAATGATAATTGTTTTCCTTTTTGCCTGTGCTTATTCCATTCCCTTAGATTCTTTTTCTTGTCTTATTGCTGCTATTAATATTTTGAGCACTATATCAGAAAACGGTGATTATGATAATGGACATCCTTGCTTCAGTCCTGATCTTCTTGGAAAGTCCTCTAGTTTATCCCCATTATATATATGCTACCTCTTGGTTTTAGATAGATACTACTTGTCATATTAAGGAAAGACCCATTTATTCCTCTGTTTTCTAGCATTTTGAACACAAATGTGTGTTGTATCTTGTTAAAAGCCTTTTCAACATCTATTGATATGATCACATAATTTTTGTTCTTATTATTAACATAGTTATATTTATAGTTTTCCTAATACTGAACCAACCTCTGTATTTCTAGTAAAAAAAAACATGCCTGGTCATAGTATATAATCTTTTTGACATATTACTGTAGCTCCTTGCTATTATTTTATTTAAAATGTTTGCATCAATATTATTCATTGAGGATATTGGTCTATACTTTCTCTTGTTGACTTTACCAGGTTTAGGTATCAAGACCGTTTTTCTGTCATAGAAGGAATTTGGTGGGACCCCTATTTTTTTCAAGTAGTTTATATAATATTAGAAATCATTGTTGTTTTAATGCTTGATAGAATTTACTTATAAATCCATCTTGTCCCAGGTATTTCCCCCCCTTTGGGAGCTCATTTATAGCTTGTTCAGTTTCTTTTCCTGAGATAAAGTTATTTAAAGCCTCTATTTCATGTTCTGTTAATCTGGGCACTTTCCATTTACATAAATATTCATCTATTTCTTTAAGTTGTCCTTTTTATTAGCATATAACTGGATAAAGAGTTTCTAATAGTTTTCTTTATTTTTCTTTGTTGTGAATTCACCTTTTCATTTTTGATACAGGTAATTTGTTTTTCCTCTTCTAAAAAATCAAATTCACTAATGGTTTATCTATTTTTTTTCTATTTTATGTTTTATATTTATTGGTTTTTCTTGAAAAACCAGCCCTAGTTTTGTTTATTAATTCCATGGGTTTTGCTTTGGGGGGGGTACTTTCAATTTTTTTAATCTTTTCTTTGATTTTTAGGATTTCTATTTTGGTATTTAATTGGATTTTAAAATTTGTTGCTTTTTTAGTTTTTTTAATTGCATGACCAATTTGTTGATCTGTTCTTTCTCTCTTCTGTTGATGAAAGTATTTAGTGATTTAAAACATTTTCCTCAAG